ATTCATATCAGCCCTTGTGTATTGAAGTGATTTATTACTTGTTTTCAGATAATTTTATTGAGGGTGAGTTAGGGTGTTTGACAAAAGTGAGAAAATAAATGAATTCAATACAGCTTATTAATTCTACAAAAGCATAGTACCAATGTAAAGTAGTCACAACCTGGATTGTAATATAAACTAAATGTACTCATGAGCAAGCGTGAAACAGTGATCGCTTGTAAAACACACCTTGGTTAAATGAGTGTCTCAATAACATCACGTAACTTCAAAAAAAGGCAAACCCAATTTTTAATTTCTAGCGTCAAATCGAAATGCCAAGTAAGAAGGAGGCGTTATTTATATCGATTTCAAAAGCACCATACATTTTCTTACAAGTTACATGTAGCCTAGTATTCCCAAATCTAAGTAAATAAGGAATTTGAAAGAATTGAGGTTTCTTTACAAAATGCATCTTCACCTCTGCAGCCACAAATGCTTCCCATGTCCCTGCACACAATAATTAAAGCAATAGAGATAGAGATGAAAATTCCCCAAATTCAGGGCTTCCTCATATAAATAACCAAATGCATTTTTTTCAAATTTAAAGGGACACTATAGTCACCAGAACAACTACAGCTTAATGTAGTTGTTCTGGTGAGTATAATAGTTCCCTTCAGGCTTTTTCATGTAAACACTGCCTTTTCAAAGAAAAGGCAGTGATTACATTGCCCCTAGGGACACCTCCAAGTGGCCACTCCTCAGATGGCCACTGGAGAGGCTTCCTGGCTCAGGGCTGCACTGTAAGCAGCCGTGCCGTTCGGCGTCCCCACGCTCTGCATGGAGACTCTGAATTTTCCTCAAAGAGATGCATTGATTTAATGCATATCTATGAGGAGGTCCTGATTGGCCAAAACTGCATTTGGCCCGCCACCGTGCCGATTTTAGCCAAACCAATTGGATTGGTTAAAAATCAGACATGGTGTCACAAAGGGGATGGAGTCAGTGCCGACAGACCCGCGCAGAGTTGGAAATAAGTTGAGTTTTAAACTTTTATAGGGGGACTAAGGGAATGGCAAGCCACCTAAACGGGGGGGGGTTTAGCACTATACGGTCAGGAATACATGTTTGTGTTCCTGACCCTATAGTGATCCTTTAAAGGATAATTACATTTAAAATAGAAAATCATGGGAAGTGATGATTACCCTCTAAAAACATTTACACGTATATTTCTCACCATTACAATATGGTATTTCAAGGAAGATAATTTTCTCTTGTGCTTATTTATAGATGGTATTCACCTATATCTATTAAGCCTTTGATTCTTTGATTAAAGGCCTAAGTAACACATTACAACATTCTTCCAAGATTCAGAGGAAGCACAACACTGATGACCTTTAAGTTGGCAAATGTGTTTAACCTCTTCAAGGCCAGGGTTGGGTAAATCTTTTGTAGTTTTAACACTGTAAAATTATATTGGCTCTGAAGGATTTCATTCATAGCTCTAATACAATTTGCCAGAAAACAATCTGCTTTCAAACACTTAACTCAGATCAGTCTTAAAGGACCACTATAGTGCCAGGAAAACAAACTTGTTTTCCTGGCACTATAGTGTTAATAGGTCGTCGTCCCCCATGGCCCCCCTCCCGCCAGGCTCTAGGGGGAGGAAGGGGTTAAAGGCTTACCTTACTCGGCGCTGGGGATTCTCCTCCCTCTTTCGAAGTCACAGGCTGAATATGCATGTGTGGCAAGAGCTGCGCATGCATTTAGTCAGTCCATAGTCCATTTCTCCCTGCTTTCCTATGGACGCTGGCGTCTTCTCACTGTGAAAATCAACGAGACAGCCACTAGAGGCTGGATTAACCCAAATGTAAACATAGCAGTTTCTCTATGTTTACAGCTGCAGGGTTAATCCTTGATGGACCTGGCACCCAGACCACTTCATTAAGCTGAAGTGGTCTGGGTGCCTATAGTGGTTCTTTAAAGATATGGCCCCCAACTATTTTATCAAACCATAACCCACTACTCGCAGTGAAATGTGATGGGAACTGTAAACATCTGATGGACTACACATAATCCATATGTGATAAACACAATATCTGTGCCAACAAACTATTTCTTTATTACAACAGGAAATAGGCCAAGATCCTTTAAGCAAACACATTTTGTCCTGTTGCAACCTGCAAGTCATATCCTGGATTGGCTTTTGTAGAGCTGCGGCCAGAGCGTGATGTAGTGCCAAGGCACATAATGACAGCTTGTTTCTGGCGAACATGACTTGAAAAGGAAGGTGCAAAATCTAGTTAGACTGCAGCTGAAACCTGTAATTAAAACAAGTTCTCCGGCTCAAACTGGTCTTTTATAGTCCAGTGATCGCCTGCGATATGCTAATGTTGGTAGGAATGTAATGCTTGACTGCTAGAGAGGCTTGCAGTTTGTTACAAAAAATCTTCAAACTGTAGACCAAGCATTTTGCTGAGTGTTTAGTAGCAGTTTACAATATGTTATAGGTGACTTTGGAGAAAAGAAATGTATTCATCCATTTAACTTACTTTTGTTAGTGTTGGAGCATAGACAATACAAATAGTTGCTGTGCACAAGCTGCACATTTACTCCATGATTTCAATGGACAATATAGTCACCAGAACAGCTTAACAGAGTTGTTTTATAGCATGTCCCTGCAGGCTTTTTAATGTTAACACTACCTTTTCACAGAAAAGGCGGTGTTTACATTGCTGCCTAGTAGCACCTCTAGAGGCAGTAACTCAGACAATGTGCAGCACTGTTGTTCAGCGTCTCCACGCTCTGCATGGAGGCGTTGAATGTTCCTCATAGAGATGCATTAAATCAATGCATCTCTATGAGAAGATGCTGATTGAGCGCAGGGTTTTGAAGTGCAAGTGCAATAACCTCCCCCCCTCCCAATGCGAGTAGAAATTTACTCCTGGTTAGTGCCATGGACTCTCCGGGTTTGCAGTGGTGAGTACATTTTTAAAGCTTGGCTAGTAGCATAAGTCTTGAAATTGTAAGCCTAGATATATCCATATATTTTTTTTAAGAATTCTGAAGAAATCCCATTTAAATGGTTTATTAAAGAAGTAGAGATTAAAGACCAGGAATTCAAAGTCTGAACTTCACAGACTCATTCCCCCAAATCGTGGTGGAGGCTGGAGGCAATTTTAACAAAATATTTCTGAAGTTAGTTTGTTAGATTTACTATTCTTTATAATTTTTATCAAACTTCCCAACAATAAATCACTTTGAATTCCGATTGAGAACCCACCAACTCAGCCTGAAAAAGTGCCTCAGACTGAGTGAAAGTACCTTAGGAATAAATTATTTACAATTACCAAGCTGTTCCCCTAAATACACAAATGACCAGAGGCTGCACAAATAATACTGAATTAAAAGGATTCTATAGTGCCAGGAAAACAAAGCTATTCTCCTGGCACTATAGAATCCTGCAGTGCCCCCATCTCTCGCGCCCCCCTCTTCTGCGGCACTGGAGATGTTAAAACCCCTTCAGTCACTTACCTGAATCCAGCGCCGATGTCCCAATGTCAGCCAGCAGGGGATACGTAATGCGCATGGTTTAGGATTTCCCCATAGGAAAACATTGAATATTTCACATAGGGAAAAATCGGAGGCTGGAGGTCCTTGTGCAGAGCTTGAGGACGTCCAGTGTCAGATAACGGACCAAAGGACTGTTTCAAACCAGGAAGTCCTGAGGTGGAGTTAACCCTGGATAGTAACTATTGCATTTATTTCTCAATAACTGCAATAATTACTATTGCATGGTTAAGGGACAGGGGACATTGCACCCAGACTACTTCAATGAGTTGAAGTGGTCTGGGTGCCTACAGTGTCCCTTTACGTGTGTAAAACATATATATAAAACAGCAGAGGCAGCATAAAGGTAGACAGACCCCTAGCTGTTGTAGAACAGCTGCTTTAAGCATCATGGGAGTTGTAGTTCTAGCTAAGAATCTAACTTTTGGCCATACCCACTTTGCAGATTAAAACGTATGGAAGAACCTTCCATGACCACATACATTTAAGGGCATGCAATATATTTATTGTTGTAAAGCAATTACTTATTTTAGCAAATTCGGGTTATTTTGTTAGCACATCCATTGCATATCCATTGCACATCCCCCCCCCCCATGCATAGGGGGATGATGTAAAGCATCAGTTAGGCGACCAGAAGTCACCAAACCACCTGGAAGTCCCTCTAGTGGCTGTCTGGTAGACAGCCACTAGAGGTGGAATTAACCCTGGCAGGTATTTATTGCAGTTTATTAAAAACTGCAATAATTACCACTGCATGGTTAAAGTACCTGGGACACTGTATCCAGACCACTTCAACAAGCGTGTCCCTGTTAATAAAACATATACTGCATGGATCCACTACATTGCTGTCTGGCAGGATCCAGTTTTATATACTTAGGGGAGGGGTGCAATTTACTAAAAATCTGACAGGTTTAATCACTAAAGTGTAAATTTTTAGGAGTATAGTGAGAACTTAAAGTGAATTTCACAATTTAGGCCACAACAGCTACTGCATTGTAATTATTGTCAGCTTAGTTTAATTTTGGCTATTTTTGATTTTAAACTAACTTTTAATTAGCTTAGAATTCCTGACAATTCACATTTTAGTGAATGACCCTGTTTGTTTCTAAATTCACCTTTTCCCCACTTGGGTAATTTAATTTTAATTCAAAACAGATAGCTTAGTTCACCACATATCACAATTAAGTGAATAAATCCCTTAGGAGTGTACCTTTCTAAGTGATTTATTTTAGTTTTAGTAATTTGTGAGATACATTTAGAACATATCAGGCTAACCCAGCAGTGAGAACTCTTGATGTTCTATGCACATTCCATGCAGATACATCAACATAATTGTTTTTGTGCATCCCCTCCTCCTCTGATACAATTACCTGTTCTAAGGAGGAGCTGTTTAGTAACACTACACCTGTAGGCTCACGCCTTTTTTCTTGCAAAACTTCCCAAACAAGTGTATGGATAAGCATGAACAACAAGGCTCAGGGAACACAGTACAGGAAATAGTTTGTTTCCATTGATTGTTTTGGTTTTTTTTCTACTGATTTACAAATGTGCTAATCATGGCCCTCGATGACAGCAGTTTGTACGCCAGGACTAAGAATAAGCTTTGTTTGAACCAATATGATTATTATAAAGTTGTCAGAAGATGCAGCCTGCCCCAAGAACTTCTCTCGGGATTTGATGTTAAAGGGAAAATCACAAGAAATATTAAGATTTTGGAACCATTGTACCTGAGAAAGCCTCGAAAACGGCCGTCCATTATCCCAGGTAAGATGCACTTAGGATGAGCGCACCATGTTGGCTTAGCTGCTAAATCACAGACATGATTTACAGCCTGTCAGCCTGGAACACACGTGAATTTTAAACGCATGTTTTTCCATAATTACTGAAAAATGACAAGTAACGAATGTACGCCTGAGGGCTTTAAACTACAGCACAAATTGCTTTGTTTTAACTCTTTATGACCTACCATTCTATTTTCAAAATCTGGGCCTTAAAGATCAAGTGTTGGCAACCTGGCATGGGGAAGGGCTAGCAAGTTTTTTCCTCCAGCTTTTAAGGAACTACAAGTCCCATGAACCTCAGCAAAAGCATGAAATGTCAAAGACTAGTGTAGTATCATGTTTGTATAGAAGCTATGTTAGGGCTTTCCTCAATGGAGGCAAGTTCTGATTTGAAAGCTGAATATGTTGGCTGTTCTATGTTAGAATGTGGGCTTCAAGGATTGGATTGTTGACATGATGGATAGTTCTATTGGAATGCCAGTGTATATTATTAGTCAGCAAACCCTAACTATTTGAATCTACAAACTGATTTTGTATTTGAAAAGTGGTAAGATTCTGAATTTTCAAAGTTATCAAAATTATATTTATTTAAATATAATTGATATCGAGAGAAAGTGTTATTCCTGATAGTAAAATGCATAACACAATAGCGCGGTTTTATGATGTTTATACATTGTTCACTTTATCCAAAATTGTTCCAGAATGCATTGCGCTCAGGACAGATTACCCAGGATTCCAGATTTTCTTTTCTGCATTGCTGGAGTATTGCACAGTTATTCACTAACATGTGAAGTGTTTGGCATTCAAAGTGAACTTAACATTTTAGACGAAATTATTTAAACTGAAACATGGCGGATTTAGAGACTTTTTCTTATTCGGCTATTTCGGCAAAAAATTTAAGAATTGAACCTCAGTTTACATCCACAAAACTCACATGTTAGTAAATAGCACTTTTGGTTTGATTTCTGTTGGCAATCACTTAATATGCACATTCATTTTGATGCAATACCCGGAGTCTTGTCTGTGCCATTTATACACAGTTCTCACATGACATCATTTCTTGAACACAAATAGTCTGATTGCTTAGAGGAGTATAGAGTTGGATCCTAGAATTGCACAATTTAAGCCAAACTGGCTGTTTAGCTGGCAAACATATTTACTAAAATGTGAATTGTATGGAATTCAGTTGGGGATTTCTAATTGTAGTCCAAAATGGACAATTTCCTCAAACCAGCTGTATTTTCAGTTTGTCCTAGAATATACATTGATAAGAGATACTATATGTAGGTAAGTTGTATTATATGTATATAATGTAAGCAGTATTGTTTGCTTAGTTTCTAATTTAGATCAGCATGCCCATTTAAGCAGCATGTTCTGTTGCACAACCTTTGCAAATTACTGAAAGAGTTATTGTTAAGCTTTGAGTTATTTTGTTTGTAAAGGGCTGGCTGAAATAATGAGTAACACTTATCTTGCCACTATACAAGCCTACACTATTATTAATTAAGGAGTTTCTAAGGCAAAATCATAACAGAAGTCACAGCAAAATAGAAAGCCCAACTATGGATTGCATTTTTTTATTTTTCACTTGATGTGTATTGTTTCTTTCTTGTTTGTTTTGTTTTTAATTGTGAAAAAACAGGGTTATTCGCAAAAGTGAGAAGCATCAGGATTTCAAAGTGAATTTCAAATCTTAGACCACCTTTGCCAAACTGGAAGCATAGCTAACTTAGAGCCACTTTAGCTATTTTGGTCTTAAAGGGTATCGCCAAACACCTATAACACTACAGCTTGTTGAAACCCTTTGTTTTTTTTTTTCATTTTACAAAAAGTGCAGAGATCAATAGAAATTGGCAATTTTATATATTAACCTGGTTACACCCCCCCGGCTGTCAATTAGGAAACCAGTCCTGCTACTTCCTGGTTTGGTTATCTCAGGGAAGCTAAACTCAAGAAGCAGCAATTCCTTGGAGCACCTGCCTTGCAAAGACTCCTCATTGAGCTGCATTAGGAAGTCTGTGATTGGTCGCATATCTAATATATGTACTAAATAGTATTTTATTTTATTTGGGCAGTGGAGAGTCCCTTTAAATGTGAAACTTACTTTGAGTTCACGACCACTCTCACTTTAGTGAACAATCTCAAAATCCATTTTTTATTTTTATTTTTAAAGCAGATGGCAGCATATTCTTTATCAGATCTAGAAGGAGCCTGCAATGATTTTAACATATTTTTAGCTAAGGAAGACCAATGCCGATCTCTACCCAGGGGTGCCAAATCTATCTTTTTTTTTTTTTTCTGGTTACTATTATTTATTCATGTGGCTGGCAATACATGAAAAACATTACCTTACAATGTGCATAATTCATGGTATGCACGATTTTTAGAAGAGACTTCAATATTAATTACCTGTGCTACATAAAAAAAAGTATACTACGGGGCACAATTTTTGTGTATTTTCCAATAGCATGAATAAGTGATATGGATCCAGGAAAACATGGTGTATCTGGCAATCCTGCCCCTATATATTTTTTTTTACTACCATGCCATCTAATCTTTGCCAAAACATGGGTTTATGGTGGTCATGTTTGCTAACAACTGGATGCCTGTGGTTGAGTGAGCCTGGCTTAATGAAGACCTTCATAATTAGTGTGGTCAAGCCACGGGTTGCTGGTGACCACAAAATGAACGTGTTTACTCATATTCTAGAAAAAAAATGCATTCACAACCGATATGTAACTTATCACATAATTAGAACAGTAAGTTCAGTGTAGGTCAGTATTTAAAGTTACTCATGTAAACTCTTTTTTGCATTGTAAGATATTGGGGTCCATTTTACTGAACCAAAAGTAATAGAACCATGTTTTATTACCCAAACTATCCAACTACTGAATAACAAAAATAGACTGTTATAAACTCAGCCAGGCTGGGAGTTCTTTAAGGTTGGGTTATGGGAACATTGTTTAGATGTTTTCCCCCTTTTTCATAATTCTAAAAATTATCAAGTACTATGGGTCTCCACAGAATGCTCCAAGTTGAGACTATTTTTTTGGGAGAAGAACAATGTAGTTTTTCCAAAACCTCAATATTTTCATAAAATATTACCCACAATCCTCTTGGCACAAACTACAGATCATACTAAAAGAGATGTTTAGCTTCCTATTCCATATTTATTCTGTAGTGATGTACAGTAGCTTGGAATACGTTCTAAATGACTTCTATAAGGCACAGCAAATTGTGCACAATTTGTCTTCTGTGCCCTGTTCAATTACTTCCACAATACTGTTTGTTATTCTGTACCAATCCCTGAAAATGCTCTTATAGCAGTATTTTTTTATTCTCTTCAATTTGTGTAATATGTTCTTGGATTCAGCGGCTTGCCTCCAGATTGTCCCGCATTTTGGGATCCACACTTTCTCCATTACATTGAATAATTCGCACTGCTCGTGCAGTACATGATGAATTGCTTTGAGAAAAGATTTTGTCATTTGACCTAGATACAACGCACTTAGATTAACATAACTTCCAACTTTGCAAACCCTGTGTCAATAAGGATATGTTCTCGCTGCTTCGAGACAGTCTAAGACAAGGTGATGGACATGATTTCATTATTTTGGATCTATTTGGCACCAGCTAATGATTGAATGCAATTTTTCTTCATAAACTGGGTCCAAGACTACAATGTAAACCGCATTTAATCTCTCAGATTATTAGTATATTTATCACCGATTGTAGGAATATTTATCCTTCTGATGTATCTCCTATCCATGTTTTAGTACATTTAAAGGGATACTCCAGACACCATAACAACTTAATCTGAATGCATTTTTTTTTATCGTACATACCTAGAGTCTTACAGAACAGTCTTGCCTTTATAGGGTTACTCCAAACAAAATTTTTTTGATGTAACCCTTGATGGCATGCCCCCCTCTCCCAAAATTTTCACAGCAAAACTTACCTGCAATTCCATGCTGAGACACAATCCTCCCTGCAGGGCAATCTGCCTACAGCTATGTCACCCCCCACACCCCTCACTGCAGACAGAGATATGTCCCAGAGGCTGGTCTAAGGGAGGACTTGGTGCCTCCATGGTGGCATGGATGGAAGGGGCATGCCTCCATTGGTCATCAGTTTCCAGCATGCTATTTGTACTGGCAATGGGCGCAAGCTATGCCGCAGAACTGGTATTAGCAGCCCAAAATGCTGATACTAGCACCCCAGAACTAACCTTACCAGAGATGGAGCATTGTCCCTCCATTCAGAGTTAAACCATGTTTGAGCAGTTTAACACTCAGTAAAGGTCACTGGCCACATACAGGCCAGCCCCTTCTAGAGGCAGAGATTACATACTTCCTTGTAGTTTTATCCTTCGTACAGTCACTCGGATCTCTGAAAGGCTAAAAGCAGTCAGCTGACTCTCTCAACCAATCACAGATGGCCCTTGCTGCTCAGGCTTATACTTCCTCTTTAGCCAAAGCAGCACAGAGGGGATGGGTTGCTCGGGACTCTGCTTTAGCATTAAACTATAAAAATATTATGCTGAATAAGATTATGGCACCAGGGAGATCCAGACACTATAGCTAGTTTAATGAGATGAAGCAGATGCAATGCCTACAGTGTCCCTTTCATTATTTGCACTGGTGGAACTATCAGAGTTGCAATGAACCCTTCATGACTGTTCCTCTACCTGCCAAAAAGGACCCCAGGCTAGTCAGCCCCCCCCCCCCCTTGAAAAATGCTTATATAATATGTAACGGATCACCTGGCATCCCGACTGGGTACCTCCGTTGAAGGATGCTCCTAGCACTTCCTGAGGACTCCAAGCACTGCAGCAGACACCAAAACCACCGAACCGTAGGAGCATATGAATGCTCTCAAGCATATGAATGTTCTATACAGCCGAATAGGAAAAACCATGCGAATAGGTTTACACTCCTAGCAGTCAAACTGGAACAGCATACAATAAATCCTCCCCCAATAATGAGACGACACTTCACTTTGAGGGTTAAGCAGGAACTCACACTGCCGCTGGGGAGGAAGGACGACACCTTCGGCTCCCTGGGACTCACACTGCCGCTGGGGAGGAAGGACGACACCTTCGGCTCCCTGGGACTCACACTGCCGCTGGGGAGGACGGACGGCACCTTCGGCTCCCTGGAACTCACACTGCCGCTGGGGAGGAAGGAAGGCACCTTCAGCTCTCTGGGACTCTCACTGTCGCTGGAGATCTGGGTTGGCTGCCCAGTATCCCTGCAGAGCCGGTAGAGAGACCTCAGTCCCATCTCTACCTGCCATCTGGAGGTCTTCCCAGGACCAGTCAATGAGGTCTAGTTCTCATTGTCGGGTAGGTTGGGGCTGCACGAAGCTGAGCAGGTGTTGGTAGTCCTGCTCCAGCTCCCACTCCCTTGTTACCAGGTGGGTCATGTCTTTGCTCACCTCACATTCGTCAGCCCAGACATACATGCCCATCCGGTAGTCGTAGATGTCCCAAAACCTAGACCCCTCCGTGCTGCCAAGATCAATGTCGTCCTCCAAGGCATCCCATAATAAACCTGGGCCATCATAATCATCCCCCTCCGGTAAGTCGTGCTCGGCCGTCCAGGGGGTAAGTCGAATGGTATGCCACCAGAGGGCCTGGTATGTGTTGTCTAGCCAGATCTCTCGCCATACCAGGGTCTCTAGTCTTGTCACCCACTCATCCAGGGGCTGCTCTCCCAATAGATACATCTGCATCGCCACACGCTTCTGTAGCGCTGCTCATCACTGGGGAGACTCTCACCTCGCCGCCACTGGACATCTTCCAGGGCATCATACCAGAGTTCCTTTCTGTCTGCATCCCTGTAGTCCGCGGCCGCCTCCTCCTCCTCATCGTGGAATGCTGTACGAAAACTAGCCGATTCCATCCTGCTGTAGCCAGGGGCGCTGTACGGATACTAGCGTTGCCCTCAATTTGTAACTCCAAACGTTACCAGTGTCTCCGAGCTGCTTCTCCTCGCACTAGGACGCCATCCCACCGCTGCCACCAATGTAACGGATCACCTGGCACCCTGACTGGGTACCTCCATTAAAGGATGATCCTAGCGTTTCCCGAGGACTCCAAGCACTCTGGCAGACACCACAATCACCGAACCGGAGAAGCGTATACCTTCTCTCAAGCATATGAATGCTATAAACAGTTGAATAGGAGTCCAAACCCCTCCGTATGGTTTTTGGCCTATTCAACTGTTTATAGCATTCATATGCTTGAGAGAAGGTATACGCTTCTCCGGTTCAGTGATTGTGGTGTCTGCCAGAGTGCTTGGAGTCCTCAGGAAATGCTAGGAGCATCCTTTAACGGAGGTACCCAGTCGGGGTGCCAGGTGATCCGTTATATAATACATTCACATTCTAGAATTATGTTTTAAAAGATGTTATAGTTCATGAGGGGGCACTTGGTAAGCACCCCCAGACTGAGTCAATGAGCTCTGGACAAGAAGACTGTTCAAATGCTCTGCTAAGGCTGAGGACCATCAGGGACCATACTGCAACTAGAACACCAGGGATCATACCCCTCTCCATGCAGAAAGCTAATCAGGAAGATTGGGGGTTAAAAAAGAAATCACACTCCAACTCCACACATACATAGCACACTGAGCTAAGGCCTACATACAACCGGACTCTACAAACTCTTACATAATCCCACTCAGGTGTACTGCTTGGAGGAAGTGAGGAGGGACAACAAGGGGGGCATTTCTTTAATTCTTTCCCCTGGGACCTAGTGATTCCTAGTTATGACCCTGATTATTTGTATTCACATATTGAAAAGTGAAAATCTATTTATTTTTTCAATCCATTGTCATGTAAATGGAAAACCACTGTTTGCATAGTTAACAGTGGAAAGGCAGGTTTGGCTCATGTAGTTCCAAAACCGTGCTTATATCTAAAACTTGCATATAAAACAGCAGGCCGTTGTCGAGTGAACCTTTACAAAATGAAGATAGGAAATAATGTGTAAAGCATTTATTTCCATGTAAGTGTCAATTCTCGGTATTGTATTCACTGCAATATACAGTATTGGGATTCTACTATAGATTTATCTCTAAACAGAACACAATTGATGACAGATGATCAATATGAGCCCTATCTGTCCATTGATGTGTGACAATCAATACACATGTACCTTTTGTGTACAGACACTTATTATCTTTGCTGAAAGCTTTTGGTTTCCTTGTATGCAAAACTAACTATGGAAGGGCAGTTCATTGTTTATCATCCCTGGGGGGGACACGGCACTAGAAACACTTGTAATAGTACTGCAACATACACAAAACATTGAATAGTTTATCACCTACAGAAACCATGTTTGTTGCTTGGGAGCGTGCTGCCATAAAGGATACAATGTAACGAAGACGCCCCGTATCCATGGCTGTGAAATAATTAAACCTATCAGTTTTGGCATAGGGGTCTTCTCTCTTTTTTTTGGTGACTTTTTTCATTGCGTCCTTAAATATGGATTTATAGAAGTCTCAGGAGAAGAATGTCCTCAAGGAAATATGGAACATGGAGCTTATTTCTAAGTGCAGTTTGTTCAGAATGACAAGATCCAGGATATTCTACATATATGTAGAAAGATTTTGTCATAGAGTAATCAAATAGTAATGGGTGTATGCATTTTGTTCCTCTCCAAATAGACTATTTCATAAATTAATGTAAACGGGTATGGCTTCTGGAAAGTTGAATAACTTCTCATTGAGTTAAAAAGATTGATAAATATAATGCTGATCAGTACTGGATAATTGGAAAGATATATAAATATATATATAAATATTTCTCAAAATGTTCTGAAAATGTACTTTTATTTTTGGTCTGTAATGTGTCGATATTTAGTAAATATTTCTAAGATCTAAAAGATGTCGACTTTTCTCTACCTAAAAACATGAAGTTTAGAAGAGTGAAACAGAATACTTTTCTGGCTCAAAAAGTGATGTACAGCCTGATAAATCGTTTGGGGAAGAAAATAAAACAAAAAAGAGCTGGCAGTTTTAATAAAATGTCAAAAAATACCAAAATAAGGCTCAAAGCTGTCTGCGACCCAGTGATAAATCCCTCTCACTTTTGTGAATCTTGTATCTGAGACTTATACCCAAAAAGTTAAGTTCAAAGTCTCTCAACAGGATTTTGAGTGCCAATGTTTTCTTGGTTGCATAGTTTTAATTCCTTATATGTTGTAGCTTAGAGCTGTTTATATAAGCAGATCTGGCTAACATTAGCAATAGGATGTTACGTTAACCAATTATAGCTCATATACAGACAGACTACCGACAAAGGTCAGTTGTTTTTTGTGACCATTAGCAGCAGTCTGCATGTAAATAGAGTATTTAAGAACTTGTTGGAGAATAGTTTTAATGTACAAGCAGAGGAAACATGGCAAGTTTGATTCTCAATTTCATTGTTTTAGGGGACCAGCCTCTTATGTAATGTAAACTATCAATATGTATTCTGGCCACTAATGCCTCGTTTCCACTGAGCGGTATGGTTCTGGTCAGTACGGTTCGGAAGGGTTGGAATGGCCCCGCCTATTCAGGTGAGCGTTTCCACTGCAAGTTGGACCGCCAGGGGGCATGCGGGGTTTAGACCAAATGCCTAGCGTGTCATTTGTCGTGAGCATTGATGTTTTCCTGACGGCCAATCAATGGATTGTATAGTGTGATGCCAGTATGGGACATTTTCATAATGGAAACACTCAAAATAGCGTTCCAGACCGTACCGACCCGAACCATACCGCTCAGTGGAAACGAGGCATAAGTTATGTCCTGTGTATGTTATCTCCATAATCTGGACTTGATGAAGACATGTTGACCAGTTTCAATACAATATTACAATGCTCACTGGTTTAGTCTTCCAGCAATCCTCTAATATACAGTTGCTTATTAGAGAAGCCTGTACCCATGGGTCTGTGTTAAACATGAGTTGTATCATTACAATAAACAGATACAAGGGCTACTAAACTGGTTCATGGATTGCGGGATAAAACTTACCAGGAAAGGTTAAAGGAACGTAACATGTATAGCTTGGAGGAAAGACGAGACGGGGGAATATGATAGAAACATTTAAATACATAAAGGGAATCAACACAGTAAAGGAGGAGACTATATTTAAAAGAAGAAAAACTACCACAACAAGAGGACATAGTCTTAAATTAGAGGGACAAAGGTTTAAAAATAATATCAGGAAGTATTACTTTACTGAGAGGGTAGTGGATGCATGGAATAGCCATCCAGCTGAAGTGGTAGAGGTTAACACAGTAAAGGAGTTTAAGCATGCTTGGGATAGGCATAAGGCTATCCTAGCTATAAGATAAGGCTAGGGACTAATGAAAGTATTTAGAAAATTGGGCAGACTAGATGGGCCGAATGGTTCTTATCTGCCGTCACATTCTATGTTTCATGTAAAGCCTTTTATAACATTGCATTATTATCACATTTAAATGTAATATAACTTACTATTAATTCGTAATTGTGTGTCATAATCCCATTTGACAAGCTCTTTAAAATGTTTTGGATATTTCTTAGGATGGTGCTTTAATAGAATTGTAGAAGGTATTTTATTTCTGCACTAAAACAGCTACTCCTAAAACTATAGTGTGTGTAACAGTTAGAAATGTAAACTGCATAGTTGCCTTGCTTATGGTATTTTTTATTTTATTTATATTTATCAACATAAAGGTATTGCTTAATGTTCATGTATTAATAATATTTCTGTTGCTGTTATTGATCAAATTCACAACTTGAGTCCACCTAATGACGTATTTACTTCTTTATTTCTTTAACTTTCCTTTTTAACTTTCTGCATATTTACTGGCAGTTAGAAATTCTGAATGTTGCTTATTTAAATGGGGAGTATCTCAGTAGTGGTTTGGAGCTTTGGCTCAATAAGCTGTTGTGTTTTGTGGACAAAGGTAAAGAATTTAGAAGGTCATATTTCAAAAGGCATATGGCTTTGAAAATACAAAATGTTATTAAAGTTCTTTCCGGGTATTATCCAATTGTTGATATGATAAAATCTGCATTTCTACACTTTTCTCTTATGCTTAAAGGGACACTCCACACACACACATCTAAAATACTTTAGCTTGTTCTATCAATGCATCACTGTGAAGTGATGCTGATTGGCGCCGCGTGGCATTTTTCCGCACACAAACCATAGCCTCTCAATGCTTTTCTGTGGGAAAGCATTAGATTGGTTGAGATAATCAAGACTCACGGCCACTAGAGGTGCGTCCGAGTGCAGAACTGGACTAGGAATCACTTCTAGTGACCGTTTGAGTGACTGCCACTAGAAGTGTTAAGGGCAGCAACACTGCCTTTTCTCATAGAGAAATAATGGATTGGGTGTACTTTATGCGTGGCCTAATGCCATTCTCTGGTCAAATGCTGCTTTCATCAGCATTGTATTGCCAGACCCTGTCTGCCAGAAAGACAGCCATCAATAGTGGGTTTAACCATGCAATGTACACATTACAGTTTCTAAAAAAAAAAAAAGGCAACGTTTGTTACGCTGCAGAGTTAAAATGACAGGACCACTGAACCCAGACCATGTGATTAAGATGAAGTGGTCTGGGAGACTATTTTGGTCCTTTACGGTTATTTAACATTCTACTCTACTTGGCACTGTTCTACTATAGCCCCTTTATATTACCTTATGACTGTTTTTATTGTTTTTACTTAGCCTAATAAACTCTTTTGAAACACACATTGGATGTGATTTATGCTGATTGGAGATCCACATCTGCCTTGTTCTACCATACCCCCAAAAAGGGGGTACCCTGCTACTTGTTGTACAGAGCCCCGAAACAACTCTATAAAATGTGAGTGATTTCTGTAAGAAGTTTTTAACTATTTTTACTTATATTTGTGCTACAAATTTAAAGGAAATTACCTTTTTAATAATTTTGTCATTTTATGGTGTGTAACACATTTATTCTATTACAGGAGCTTTGTAAACCATATATTTATTTATACTATATTGGGTCCGAGAGGGCACCTACTTTGGAGTGTTACATGTGTACATTATTTCATTGTATTTATAAGCACTTCTGGTAATTTGAATGTTATTTTTTTTAAATGACTGTACTTTGAAACAAACATACGGGTGACAGAAGCTGTCTGACAGTATATCAACAAATGATGTGGTGTCTTTTATATTGTAACACTTGCTGCACTATTGTTTGCAGTCAGTACATCAGTGATGAAGTAAATGAGCAACTAATCTTTATCTTTGCAGCCAGTCAATTAAAGGTGCTTATTAAGATCAAAGATTATTAAGATCAAAGCATTAGTTTTTGGCTTGAATAACACCTTTCTTCTGAGATGGTATCAGCACAGGCCACTTTACAGGTTCCACTAAATATACTTTAATTTTGACTAATTATTTTCAAAGGCTCTCTCTCTCTCTCGCTTTCTCTTTCTTTCCTTCTTTCCTTCCATGTAGCAGCCAAGCTAATCTGCGTGCCAAAATATGATGATAAATCTAATCGAAGTGAGTAAATTTATTTCCAAATGCCAAACAAAATCCTGTCTTCAGAAATACCCACTGTACATCATCATAAGTGAAGTCAGATGCAAGTTTGGAATGTTGAATAACCTTGTAAGCGTTAGCTGCAATAGCAATATATAGATTGTCACAAACTTAGGTGTAGTGATTGGTTACTTCTTCTGCTTAGAGCATCATGGGGATGTAGTCCTCAGCAACTGGAATAGCCGGCACTTTGCCTTCCTCTGCTCTAGAGCACCTGAGTATGATGCGGTATGAAATGAACTTGCTTATACATAATGCAGTATGATCAAAATTGTATATAGCAAGCCTTGCCACGCAGAGCTTATTGATTGCTTCAGAAGCTATAAATACCAAGGGTCCCAGAGTGTACTTGTAGAAGAAGAAATCTATTGGTGTACAAACCCAATATAAATTTCCCAAGTGGTATCAATATAATAAATGAAATTTCTAAAATGTTAACTTTTGTTTCTAGTAAATTAGAAATAAACTTCTCAAACTGTAAAACCCAAACTAAATGTAAAGTTATGCTCAATCAATATCTAAATATAAAGGATTATAGCTGTGATTACCATGTCATATCTATAAAACACTAGTTTCAGGTAGACTTGTTCACAAATGCATTTCAAGTGGTTTGAACAAATCAAATTGTTAATCTGAACCCAAACGTACGTACGTGCCCGGGATTGACCTGTGGAGTGAGACGGATCATTCTTTTGGCCGTAGAGTAACAAGACTTTGATTTGTTCGTACCAACTGAAGTGGATTTATGCACAAGTCTATCTAGTTTCAGGTACACTGTGAACCATGCCTCTCAGGGCACTAAATTTCCAATCTGACATTTAAGTACTAAATTCTAATTATGTCACATAAAAAAAAAAATAAACAATGAAAACCTATTCCGACATGCTGGAGTTTAATACGTCTATACTTGAGAAAAATCTGAACGTGAACTAACAAAAGAAAACTAGGTAATCCAGGGTTGAATGATCTGGTCCAGTGTCTTCATCTGTCCGATTTAAGAGAGAGGTGTCAATGGAAAATATTTTTATTTTTTTTTATTTTTTTTATGTGAGTATTATATATATATGATTATTTTCTTTTGTATTTTTAAACGTAAAGTGTCTAAATGAGATGCTCAACTTTGCACAATATTGTTTCATCTGCCGCTATTCAACTAGCACAACAACTGAAAAGGCTGAGAAACCCACCCTGTGTTGGATAATGTCAAAGTAGAATTGAAACTTTTAAAATATCTAATGTTTACATTGTGTTTTGGAAGAGAACAATGATAACTAGGACATGTTAAAGCTTTTCTTAAAAAAACAAAACCATGCAAGTGGCTCATAACTTGATCGCAGCAAACTGGAAATCCCCGATGTGCCCATCTCCAACCCAACTCAAAGATAAACTTCAACAATTTTATATGTACAAACACATGTCACTAGACTCCCCAATTAGAACTAAAAAGTTTAAAATAACGTGGGCCCCATGGCAAATCTTGATGAATCGTAAGAATGCTAACAGTACAACCCCTACTTGAGGCGACATTTGACATCTAGTGAACCAATCCCGACAGACCTCCAGGCCTCTAGCAGCTCAATACTAATCTCCTATGGGACAGTACCCTTTCTAACTAGCCTACCCCCGAAATGATATGTTGAATTTACAAGATAAAAATATGACTAGATTGAAAGGTTGAATATTCAATGTGTTGACCTTGTTACTAGTTACTCGTTACCTATTACTTGTTAACTGATCAAAACTACTATGTTACCCAGCTAACTATGTATCCAATTGCAAGATCCGGGGAAACCACCCTCAGATCTCTATATAACTGTGCAACTTACCAATATGTTCCTTTTAAGTGTATAATTGTGCACCAAGATATGTCTGTACCGAACATATAACTATGCAATGGATATGATTATATGCAAAAACGTAAAAAAAAATCAATAAAATATAAATTGAAAAAACAAAAAAAATGATCAATAATGATAATAAAGAATACGATGGCTGAAGCTGGACAGAAAGAAGTCCAATATTAGTGGAATCCTGCTGTTTGGTTCTGCAATGACATTAGCAAGTATATTCCTTATTACTCTTAACTTTATGGGGTTCAGAAACCTCTAACTACATCCCTAGACGCAAGCCCTGTCTCCCTAGCCCTCTAAACCAAAAATGAAAATATTGAAAAAAAAAGAAAAAATATTGGAAACTGGTTGTGTCTTACATTTAATAACTCCCACTTGCTGCAAACAGAGCGTGAAACTAAAATCTGTTCATAAAATCTGGAAAAAAAAGTCAACCAGAATTCCAGAAAACCTTCTGTCCCCAAACAAAATTATTTTTAAATCCATATATTCACCAGCTGATATATCAATATATAATCCAGCTTGAGCACAACATGAACATCCAGACCTTCAATGCTTGGGCTCCACACAGGAACTGAAACAAAAGGAGGAAACTGAAGTTCTGCAGAACATACAATCACAAGCCATTGATATACCTGAGAACTTGCAGGGTTTCATCCTAAGCCACAGGACTCTAGGTGAGGCGGCAAATTCTCAGGATTACACAGTCTGCAGCTCACGCCATTGACAGTAGTGAGTTTGCTGGTGGTTGAGACTCCCAATATGCCTTTTACTTAAGACACTATTAAATTTATGTATACGCTATCTAAAGGTTAATATTTGCAAGGGCCTTTATGTTGGATTATTCAGGTATGTCCAGAGAAAGGAAGATAAATTGCCCAACTTTAGTAGGGATTAGCCACTTGTCTATACTGCCATACGCGTAGATCTTAGTCTTCATCTGTCCGATTTTAAGAGAGGTGTCAATGGAAAATATTTTTTTTTAATGTATTCTATATATTTTTTTTTTGTATTTTTAAACGTAAAGTGTCTAAATGAGATGCTCAACTTTGCACAATATTGTACTAATATTAATATTGTACTTTTACGGCAGCACCTGTATTGTATTGTCCCTAGGACATAATGCCATATTTCGACACACTCGGAGTATTAGTTTGGTTTGGCATTTATTTTTCTTAATAGCAATATATATTTTATAAGTTAAGTTAAAAACTCAAGGTTAGGTACATCTTTGCTATTTGAAAGTGCTCTTTTTTTTTTTTTGTCATCTGGGTTTGTCACACCTAACAGTTTTCTATAGACCTGACTTGATGGTGGTTTACTATATGTCAGACCTCAAGGAGAAAACACCAACGGGAGGTTTGATTCTCTGCTCTTTTCCTAGAGAGACATAGTATGGTCATTTATTTATTTTTGTCTTTGTTTATTGCATGCTTGTTGACCAGCATGTCTAGGGGGCACCATAAATATTTAATGCTTTACATTCATCACGGTTTCACTGTGGCGTTATAAAAAAGGCTGTATCGTTATCTACTGTATTAACTCCCGTTACCCACCGTACATTATATATCTTCATGGTCTCTGTATGATATTGGTCATTTTAATAGCCAACAAATGGGACTGGACACACAAAGCAGAGAGATATTTCAAAAGTGCCACACTATGGGTAGCTACATAGAATTAAAACATCATCCAGTCACTCGAAGGGCTAAATCTAACAGCAGATATTTATTGGAAACAGAGGCAACACTTCGATCCCAGTCAGAGCATTTCTCTTTGGTTGCTTGATTCAAGGGAGTAGAATGTAATCCCTATTTATGAGCTTTGGGGTCAGTTGACCATTTTGCACATTCAGTTTGCACTACCTTTCAAAGAGTTACTATGGGAAATACAAGTATATATCTGACGATTTTAAATGATTTAATATTTTTGGATAAACTTTCAATTTTTTTTTTATATTAACATATCAAAAAATATATCATAATATTAAATCAATTTAAAAGTTTATTCAAAATTATGGCGTTTATCCAAAATTATGGCCATTATCGGACATCTGAATGAGCAAAACACTACATGCTAAGGTTAATATCAGATATTTGTGACCAACAAAGATAAACTTCAAGTTATCATTTTAAACATACACAGCAGCAAGGATTTTGCTTAAGATGTTTTTACCTCAAAACTCTGCCAAGGGTTTGGGGCAATTTCAGACAATGGCTGGATACATGATCCATGTAGTTCACTTTTCCTTGATTCTTTTCAAAAGAATGTTCTGAGCTAAGGGGACCACTCCATAATGATAAGATGAGCACAGATGCTCTTTAGATGTGTTTTTGGGTCACTGCTGTAAATTGATATCCAACAATTCCATCTGTGCAATTGCTGTACTCTTGCCATTCACATCAACATAACTCAGTGAGCTGGCAATTTCCCCACTGCCATACATAAAACAAGCAGGAGGAAATGTTTGTCATCAGGATAATATCTGTATGTGGCCAGTTCTTCAATTGCTCTCTGAATCTACAGGCTCTGTGCACATTAACCCCTTAAAGACACATGACGGAAATATTCCGTCACGAATCCCTTTTATTTCCTGAAACTGTGTTCTTAAATGTTTATAAAGTTAAAGGATTTAAGGAAATGCATTATTTTAAATGTATTGCTCCAAAAACAAATTTCTGGTTATGTATTTTTGTTATGCGTTATATTATAGTTTAGCTAGTCTTATAAGCCTCTCCTATTCCATAGCTTTCCTGTAAGACTTCAGCCATGGCAAATGTGACATTTATCAACTAAGGCACGGGTAGGCACTTTTTGCCAAAACAAGATCTTGATGTCCCTTGGCATACCGATCTAATTTGTTTCAAACTGAGGTGTGTATGTTGCCATATTCTGCTTGTGTTATTTATTGGTGGTGCAGTTACTTTGTAGCCTTGTATTTGGACGTTTGTTGGCTGTTATATATGTTTGAGTAGTTTGTGGTATTCTGTACGATACCTATGAATGTGAGCTGTGTATAGGGGATGCTTGTGGAATTGTGTGTGTGTGTGTGTGTGGATGATATGTCATGTTGTGTGTTTGGTGTGCATGTGTGGGAGTTGCTTTTTTTTTTTTTTTTCAGTTTACCCGTATTGAATCGGGACTTTATTTTCTTGGCACACTTCCTTTTGCATATTTATTTCATTACTTTTTTCTCCATTGATGGTCAGTGATTCTGACTAATTGATTTATTATGTATTTTTGAACCAATTTTGTACTCACAGATGCTTTTATTTATATGTATAGATCTGAATTTGTAACAGTTAGGTGATTCACCCCTGTGAATGTGTTATACATGTTACCTTCCACGCGGAGTTGCAACACGCTGCTTCTTTTTATAGATACTGTTGCTTTGTCCCAACCTGAGGTTTATATGTATCCCGGTTATGTATATACATTTAATATTGCACTGAGATTTTTCTTATTTTTATTTTTGTGTCCTTAACATATTTGCATTATTTTATTGTTAGCCTTTAGAATGTTGTGGGGACTATGGGAGTGTTTGTGTGTGGGCTGTTTGTTTTCTTTGTGTGAAGGGGAGGCTTATTTTGCATCTCTGTGTAAATCTAGCAGTGTGGGTGGCTTACCTGGGGTCCAGTGGGGACTGGGATGGCCAGGTGCAGGTCAAGGGCAGGAGCTTCTGTGGGCTGCTCTACTCCAAGTTGGATTTCCTTTACAAGTGCTGAGAGGAAGTGATCTGAGATCACTGCCTTTAAGTGCTGCAATGCATAAATTGAGGATTGTCCTCAATCACCAGTAGGTTTGTAGCTATATGAAGTCCCACTAAGACTCCTGATAGGCCAGAGCCTGTGTGACTCTGGCAGCCTTGAGTGCTGTAGGTTGAGGACCTTTGAACTAAGGCATAAAAGGAAACCGCATCACTGTTGTACTTTCACATATTACATAGTTACATTGCTGAAAAGAGACTTGCGTCCATCAAGTTCAGCCTTTCTCACACATGTTTATGCTGTTGATCCAAAAGAAGGGAAAAAACCCAGTCTGAAGCGCTTCCAATTTTGCAACAAACTAGGAAAAAATTCCTTCTTGACCCCAAAATAGCAGTCAGATGTCTCTACCCCACTAATTAGAAATGATATCCCTGTATGTTATGTTTTTGCAAGTATTTATCCAATTTCAGTTTAAACATCTGTATGGACTCTGACAAAACCACCTCTTCAGGCAGAGAATTCCATATCCTTATTGCTCTTACTGTAAAAAAAAAACCTTTTCTTTGCCTTAGATGAAATCTCCTTTCTTCCAGCCTAAATGTGTGACCTCATGTCCTATGTATAGCCCTGTTTATGAATAGATTTCCAGATAAAGGTTTGTACTGGCCCCCAATATATTTGTATAATGTAATCATATCTCCACTCAGGCACTGTTTTTCCAAACTGAACAGATTTACATTTTTTAACCTTTCTTCGTAACTAAAATGCTCCATTCCTTTTATCAATGTTTTAGCTTGTCTCTGCACTTTTTCTAGTGCCATGAAATCTTTCTTTAGAACAGGTGTCCTTTAGAACATATGTGTGAGAATAAAATTAATTCAGATCGAGAGGATCTTAGAAGAGATCAGGATCCCCTTAGGAGCTCATGTGATGCCTCAATCGTGAGTCTTGGTGGGAAGGATTTTGCAAGTGTAAGCTCATTAAAGACTCGACTTTTGAAATATTTTGCCATAATCTGGCATGCATTCAAGGCACGCTAGTCCCTATTATTTTTTTTTGTGTTTGTCTTTGCATTGCATTTTAATTTTACTGAATTTGTAAAGCAATATGATTTATTTATTTTTCCATGAAGATTCTATCATGAAAAAAATCAGAAGTCATAGTGTTGCATCTGAACCAGATATATAAATACATTGAGTGACATCAATCAATCAGTAGCTTGTTGGTGAATAGATTTCTTCCTACTATTGTCTCATTAGCCGCTTCACATTTAAGTAATATTAAAAAAGGAAAATGTTACATCTCGCTAGAGGCGTTTGCGTGCTTCGCACTGTGAAAATCACAGTGAGAAGATGCCAGCGTCCATAGGAAAGCATTATGAATGCTTTCCTATGAGACTGACTGCGCGTGCAGCTCCTGCCGCGCATGCACATTCAGCCGAAGAGGAGGATCGGAGGCAGAGAGGAGTAAGTTTAACCCCTTTCCTCTCCACAGAGCCTGGCAGGAGTGGTACCCTGAGGGTGGGGGCACCCTCAGGGCACTATAGTGCCAGGAAAACGAATATGTTTTCCTGGCACTATAGTGGTCCTTTAAAACTGCCTGTCTCAGCAAACAAATAAGGGGATTCAGTTCATATTGTGGAACTGAATACCCATATTTTTTTGCTGCTTATGCTCTACAGCAGAGGTGCCTGATAGGTAAATCCCCAAATGTTATAGAACTACAACTCCCATGATGCTTTGTCACTCTTTAAAATCCTTTTAGAATGACAAAGCATTATTGGAGATGTCGTTTTAAAACATCTGGACATCTACTTTTTTGGCTCCCCTGCTCTACCGGATGCTATTAAAAGCAGAGCTAGAAACAAGCATTTGCTGCAGCACCAAGTACTCTATTCAGTCTCACTACGGTCCCTAACTAATAGAGGGATATAATTAAAGAGTACTCTTCTTACAATACCTACACACATTCACATAAGTCTTAACTTACAACAAGGAGGACTCAGCATCCAACAGGGTAGGATGCAAGCTGGGTACCATAAACCATTTATCATAGAGAGTAACTTTCCTTTACACAATCTTTATATAGTTTAATGCTGCAGCTCAGTGTGTCCCGTACCCAGCAGATGTTCATTCCTGATACTCTCATGTTTTGATTGTTTTTCATATCTTCTAGATTAGATGGACATTCTCTGAATAACATGGTGACTTAATCTTGGGCTTTTCTCTGTTGTATTGTTCTTTGCTGGCCAAGTATGCCACATTGGTTGAATTTACAACTCCAGTCATGATATTTGGAGTGTTTTAGCTCCAGCATTATTATTCTTTCTCTCAATCAATATATATATATATATATATATATATATATATTTCTAAAACATGACTTCGCTTTTTACGGAATACACCTTTCTGATCTTATCATGTTGTTGAACTTATAAGGCCTTGTATTCAACGTAGACCAGTATTTACCCATACTATTTATTTTTATCCTTTTTTTTTTTCTCAGATCATCTTGTGATTAACAACCAAATCGGGTGAGCAAGCACCCAGTATTCAGCAGGTTTAAAAGGGATTCATATACCAATCTGAAAAAGCTGAAAATCTGCAGCAGCACACAGAGACAGGCTCAAAAATTCGTTCAGGTTATGGAACAATCTGTTCTGCATTTTGTAGCAACAAGAGATACACTGCAGGGAGAAACGGCTGTATTCTGATTGTCTGTTTATTCTGTTAATAAAAATAAAATCCAAATAAACGAACAGCAGGCCTCATTCTGATGAACTTGGCAGACATTCCATAGCATTAAAATAAAAACAAAATTAAAAATATATATTCATATCATCTAAATTCACATTGTGGCATTAATGGTTCAGCTGATTCATTGCCATAAGTAAAAGCCTGAGTTATAAGTTTCTTACCTCAGACCTGAACAGAACTCTGATGTTCTTCACCCCCTATTGTTTTCTGCCTCCCTTGGTACACTCATCAGCTATTTTGGCTTCCAATATCACTTCTATGCGGATAACACACAAATCGATCTGTCCTCTCCTGATATCTTGCCTTTTGATTTGTATCACTAACTCCCTCTCTCCTATTTCTAAGTGGATACCTGCTCATTTCCTTAAAGTGTCACTATGGTCACCAAACAACTTTTGCTTACTTTAGCAAAGTACTTACTTTAGGAAAGGAGGGAGGGCAGTGTATTGTATTGGGGGAGGGATGGCAGTGTATTAAATTGGGGGAGATGGAGAGTATATTAAATTGGGGTAGGGATAGGGGGAGTGTATTAAATTAGGAGAAAGTGGGGGTGGGGGAGAAGGGCAGTGCATTAAATGTGTTGTGCTAATAGTCTTTAAACTCGTAAAAATGTTTTTTTTTGTTTTTGTTTTTTTGCTTTTTTTTAGTATGCTTTGATTTTTTTTTTACATTTTATTTGTTTCCCTCTACAGCCTGAACCCTTATGCCCCATACACAACAGCCCCATAAATACATACTAAAGACCCTTATACACACACAGCAGCCCTAATGCAAACTCACTGTAACCCCATACACACACTACAGTCCATACACATAAACATTAGATACATGTATATGCACACTACAGCCCTTAGATGCACACACATCCTACCACATAGACAATCTCATACACAACACTCTCTATAGCCTCTAGACTCACACACTACAGCCCATTTACAAACACAAACTACAGCCCCATACATAAAAACACACTACAGCCCCTAGATACACCAACATAAGAGTCCCAATACACATACATGCACATTACACCCTCTAGAAGTACTACAAATACACACGTGCTTTCTCTATCTACAACCGCTAGACAGAGATACACAATCTCTACAGACCCTAGACGCACACATAGTGCGTCCAGTGGAAACAATTACACACTACAGTCCCTAGCCACACATAGTACACCACATACTCCTTTATACATACACAACACCACAAACCGTCACTTCTATGCACACGCAATCTCACAATCAGCCTCCAACCACATACAGTGCCGCAGAGAGCCTACCCACACATGCACAACCCCTTTTACTGGTCACACCCCACTTTTGTCCTCTGTTATCTCTCTGTTAGGGACACCAGAGACAAGTCACCAGCAATCGCTGTGAACAATAAGCACAGGGCATTGGTGCGAGTGTTCTTCAGCAGGGCTCATGAAATGCCCTGGAGGTACAGCCAACTAACATATTGACTTTGAGGTGGCGTGCATGTCATTATTGATGACATGCAATGCCCACTTTCTGTCCCCGCTCCCTCCAACTAGGCTGCTCTGCCTTTAAATTCCCAGGCTGAATTTATTTCCCAGTCCGGCCCTGGTGCTTCCTCTCCTGTAGCTGTCATCCAAACCACTAACTCTTCATGGAAACTATTCTAGTAACCTTTTTTTCCCCGTACATGAAATATATATCCTACCCTTACCTCTTGTGTCAGTTTACCCCCTCCCTCTAGAACGTATCTAGAATGTAAGCTTGTTTGAGCAGGGCTCTCTGCACCATCTGTTCCTGTGCATCTATCTAGTTTTGTTATTGGCACTTTATAAATAATAATAATTAAAGGGTCAATCTAAACAACATAACCATTGCATCTTGGTGGAGACACTGGATGCCATCCTCTATTTTGTGTTTTGGCATAAGCCTAAGAGGTGGGTGGTGTGTGTGTGTGTATTATCGTTTATGAATTGGCCTAACAGTGCACCAGAGATGAGGCTAGGTTGTAATAACTCTGTATTACAACATCTTAAAAAAAAATATATATTTTAAAAAAATGAAAAATTACACTATATAATTTAATAGTGTTGTATAACTTTTATTAACGTGCATATAACTTTTATTGATGGACTTTATAGGCCAAGACTGATCATTTAAATGAAGAAAAAAATGAAACTGTTTTCAGTCATAAGAAACCACGATCTATGTTTTGACCGTCCGTATTTGAGTTCTATTTTTAGATATGGTTCCCTTTTGTATTCTTATTGCTTTGCATTCTCATCTGCAGACTGTATCTAAGCTGTCTGTACCTTAGGGTGTGGGCCCCAACTGCTAACGTTTGTGCTGTTCCAATTCATTCTTCTCCAATACATCACATTCCTTAGACATAGTTTAGAAGCATTCAAGGGACAGTAATAGCTATTGCCCGTGACCTCATCATAACAATCGCAAGACTTCCCTCACTGATCTTTCTTGAACATGTTTTTGCATTTAAAAAATACACTTTTGGTTATTAATTAATATTCTTTAACCCCTTAAGGACCAAACTTCTGGAATAAAAGGGAATCATGACATGTCACACATGTCATGTGTCCTTAAGGGGTTAAAGAGCAACAGTCACAAGCCAGGATTTTTTAATATTAGGTTTCATTTTTCTCTATTTAGAAAATATAAGTTTGTAAGTGTAGGAAAAAAATAAAGCCTAAGATTTATTTAATGGTATGATTCTAGACAGGACAGTTCCCCTTTGAGGTACTATTAAATATACACATAGTCAAATGATAAGACTATGCTTATGATGTAGGCTGTTAAATGTCACATTGGGATTATCTACTACGGCTCATCAGCATTATTTAATTTTTTTGGAGGGTTGTTTTGTTTTTTTGCTATCAAAACAAATTTACTCCAAAATCTGATTTACTACCTGGCATAGACAAAAAGTGATTAGCTATTTACCAGATGGTGTTGCAGTTTCTCAAGCGTAACCTTTTCTGTTGTTTTGGCATAAACCCTACATCTAGTGGGATCAAACGTAACATCGAACTAACTGCAGATTGCCAGCCAGCCTTCCTTTTTAAAACCTTTGTTTGTGTTGGTTGCTCATGACAGATACAAATATGATACATTCCTCAAGCCTTCTGGAACATTATCACTTGTAGATATCCCCAGTCAAACAGACACAGGTAATCCTTTAATGTGGGACGTTTAGTGGTCATTGTCTATGGTAAATGTCCTATTGTTTAGAGATTTGTATCTCTTATTTGAGAATTTTCCCTACTCATTATGTGCTAATATTCGTAAACAATGTTTCTCTGTGTTTCTCTCAGTCAAACATTAATGCCCGCATCTTTTTTGTGTGTGTGTGTTTCGTTTAGAATTTTTTCTTTTTTTTTTTTTTAAGGAGAGATTTTATATGTCCCACACTAGATTAAGGAAGCCTATATATATTTTTAGTTAATTGTACAGAAAAAATAAACATGCATCATCTTGGTCAGCTAGCAAAATGATGGACTTTGCTTTCACAATTATTTCAGTAATTTATACGAACACCTAACCCAATATTCCTCTTTTCTCCACTGTGTGTTTTTTTTTTTCTTCACATTAGAGACTTATTTCTCTGCTAGGGCTCAATTCTCTTACTCTGCATTGTTAATAACAGTCCTCCCTGCAAAGGCTTATATAGGGTGGATGCTTTGTGTAACTCTACTTGCTGTATATCGGCATACATCTACATAGAAACATTAAGAAATGGCTTAAGGCGCTTTACAGTCCCCGTAAGCCAGTTAAGCTGACAACTTGTATCATATGTGACAAAAATGACATTCAAACCATATTAAAAATATTTAAAAAAATGATATTCCCTAATATTTCTGTAAAGGACGTACTGATAAAAGAAGCATTGATAAAAATCTATACCAGATATAGCTTGTGCTTGTGAATAACAAAAACTGCGCATTAGACGGTAACGTTCACAAGAAATGGACATGTCGTATTAAGTTAAGCTATGAGAAGCCAGCACAGTGTTTTTTTTTTTTTTTTTTTTAAATGAAAGAAAATAGAAGTATAAGAAACAAGAATAGCAGTGCAAGTTTAGTTGATCGGTAGGATATTAAGTAGACGGGAAATATTCACTGATTGACACTTTATACTAGACCGTAAATAACTGTAGAGGATAACAATAATCAGAGTTATGATTAACGTAAGACAGTGCACTTGTGAGTGATAAACTAGAGGTATATTGGGAAGTACACGCACTGAGAGTGCTTAACAAGAAGTAGAAAAAGAAAAAGCCCCTGGAGGTCCCCAGGTACACTAGCTGTAGGCAGGGCCGCCATCAGGGGTTGACAACCATGGCGGTTGTCACGGCCCCACGTGTATCGGCGGAACTGATAGGGCCCACCAGGTGGCCCAAGCATTTAGGGCCACCCTATGGGCCCTGTATCTTCAGGGACCCGGTCAGCGCTGCGGCTGTGCAATAGTGCGACGGGGCTCCTTTAAAAAAAATTGCAGCTGCAAAGTAGTGCTGGGAGAAAGTGACTGCCGGTTATTCCCTCACAGTTCCCTCCGCGCAGGAGGGGAGAGAGCCAGGCCGCGAGGACAGAAGAGCCACGCCAACTCCTATCATTCCCAGCCACCTCCTGTAAAAAAAAAAGTAAGAAAAATTAGCTGTGTGTGCATGTATGTCAGTATGCATGTATGTCTGTGTGTCATTATGTCTGTCTGTGTGTCATTATGTCTGTCGGTGTGTGTCAGTATGTATGTTGGTATGTATATGTATTTCAGTATGTGTGTGTGTGTGTGTGTGTATGTATGTCTGTGTGCCGCTGCTATTTTCCACCTTTTTTTGTGGTGAGCTCCGGGTGCTTGTGATGGGAGCGTGCGGGCAACTCCAGAGGTAAGTGTTCACCCGTTGTGTAGGCTGTAGCATGATTTTGTCGGAGTGCCAGTCTTCTCGAGAAGGCA